AGAGCTGTGCTGTGGTCTAGAGAGTTGTGTTGTGGTCTAGAGAGATGTGCTGTGGTCTAGAGAGCTGTGCTGTGGACTAGAGAGATGTGTTTTTGTCTTCCCCTCTGTCCAGGTTTCTGTGGAGCTGTGATTTCTGGTGGCTCAGGGGGTAGTGAGGACAGCAGGGACCCAATCAGCAGAATGGTCACTCAGCCCTCCAGCCACAGCTGACCCCTGTGACCCTGGCCATGGCCCACAGGTCATGGGTCACGAGCCAGAGACCCAGGAGGAGTCAGAGCTGCCCTGGCCAGAGAGCTGTTGCCATGACAACTCTTCTGTCCTGGGAGGCAGCAGGCTGGACCCTACCTTTACTCTCCTGGTCCTCCCTGGATGCCCTCAAGACTGAAGACCGAATGGTTAGGAGCGCCCCCTGCAGGACCCCAGAAGAGTTCCCTTTGGAAGGGTCCTTAAAGACCACGGCACTGTTCTGAAGAGTAGTGGTGCTCGCACCGGAGTCCTGGCTGAGCTCTGCTGTGGGATTTGCACGGTCTGACTCTACGTTCCCCAAATTTCAACAGGTGCAGCAGTTTCAATTCAGTTCAGTTCAATTCAAGGTGCTTTATTAGCATGACCGATGGGTACAATCAGTCTCTCTCTCTCTCCTTCCCCTGCCCTGCTGTGTAAAGACCCCCCTGTTGCTGCAGCTCAGCGATAGAGAGGGTCCTTTCCTGGATGTGATGTCTGCAATCATCTGGCACGAGTGTGAAAATGAAATCGTTATTACGCTTCATCAGGATCGCGGGTCTCGCCTCTTCACAGGCGGCGGGAGACAGCGCCCCCTGGCGCCCTCCTCTCTCAGTGGGCCGTCGTGTCGGTTCAGTAGAGCTCTACCTCCCCCTGCTGGCGGCTCTCGGTCCGGCAGGGCTGGCTGTTCCTCCGGCTCCTCGCTCCTTTATTCCCCCGCAAAAAAAAAAAGAGAGAGAGAGAGAGACCATGCACGTGCTCTCCCGGGAGCTCGCGGTCGATGCCTCGTTCCACCATCTGCCCGAGTGCAGCTGCCAATCAACAGGTCCGCGCGCGACCCGGGGGGGGGGGAGGTTGTTCCCGCTCGCGCGCGCGCGCGCTCCCAGCACCATGCGCATCACCGCTGGAGGGACAGAAGCGCGGGGCTCGCTGCACAGACCCCAGACCGAGGAAGAAAGTAACAGCGTGCAAAGAAGCAGGGAGAGGAGCGATGTACTGGGAGGGCAAATTACTGTTAAGTGTAATGTGTAGGAAAGCGCCGCGCACAATGCATCCGATCGATCAGCAATTATGGGTCCTTAAAGCAGAGACGGGCTCTATTGTTCCTGAGCAAAGCGCTGCAGCTCTGTGCTCTCTCACCCACAGCACTGGCTCACGCCTCGGGGTTCGGGGACAAACGCGCCTGCTGGGATGACAGATTTTCCTTTCGTTAAATGGTAGTTTAAGGATCGCGCTGCCGCACTGTGCTGGGCGGTTGTGCTTGCGCGGGTGCAGCTCTCCAGCCATCCCCTGAGTCTGTCCTGCGCTGCTTGCCGGGAAGGAGCCGCTGTCTGTCTCGGGCCCATAGCGGGTAACGGAGACCGAGCTGGTCATACTCCGGGCGGCCGCTAGGGGCGGCGTCGCGGCAGGTATTCTCGTCTCCCAGGGGTGGCGGCGGGGGCGGGGACGAGGGGGGGTAGAGAATGTGGGGACCGGCTGCCTTAGGGGCTAATAATCCCGGGGCTGGGGACGGAGGGCAGTGGGGGAATTAGGAAGGAGCTAATCTGAGGGCTGGGAGTCTTACCTCACTCTCTGATCGGTAATCAGACGAGAATCCTTGGTTGTAATCCGGGCCCCCCTGAGAGCCGATTAGAGGAGGGAGATTAAACACAAACCCTGGGAGATCTCCCCCCCCCCCTCAGCACACACCTCACAGATCAGCACAGCCGCTGAGGCCCCCCCACCTGGAGCCCCTGGCCTCAGGGCGTCAGCAGGGGGGACAGGCCCGGGACATCCAGCCCCTTTCTGTCAATTCGGGGTCGCGGGGGAACAGGAGCCTATCCCAGCAGGCAACGGGTGCCAAGCTGGGGTACGCCAGTCCATCGCCAGGCAGACACGCACAGATACTCGCTCCTCAGCCACCCAGGGCACCCCGGGGGACTGGGGAGAACATGCAGACTCCACACAGACAGCACCCCAGGTCCAGAACCGGGCCCAGGGCCCCAGAGCTGTGCTCAACATTGTGGACCCCCTCCCCTCCCTTCAGACATATGCAGCGGAATTAAAGAGCTGCTGGCAGAGGATTTGCCTTGTGTGCTGCCAACGAATTAAACAAATTAAGAGTGCCAAATGAGTTCTTAACCGTAGGGAGGTTTAGCTAATGGGCTGGGGGGAGGCGGGGGGGGTCTTGTGTCAGAGGCGGCGCGGGCGGCCACCCCAGGAAGGGACCAAGCCCTCCTTCAGGGACTGGACCCGTCTCCGGGTCAAATCAAATGTAACAAAAAGCACACATTGTCAAGAATAAATTGCTGGAGATCGTCGGAGCGCAGAGAATCAGGAGTCGCAGCACATACAATAGCAGCAGTCAACAGGAAACATGCAGGTTAACAATAACATAAATCGGTATACAAAGGGTACACTACAGATCAAGCCACCAATATCCAAATAAAATTCAAGGAAAAGCACACAGTCGAGAAGAACCTGCCAACGCTTGTCGAGTTGCTGGAGTGGTGCTGGAAAGGAGATCGTCGGAGCGCAGAGAGGCAGGAGCCGCAGAACTGAAGGCAAAAGAAAAAGGAGCAAGTTAACAGGATATCGGACTTGCAGAATCGATTCATCCCGAACCTCCAGCGGGCAGATAAGCAGGTGGTGCTCGACTGAGGACCAGTTCAAGAACAGGTGTTAAATGAGAGATCGTCGGAGACCAAAACCCAGCCTGTGAGAGCCAGAGTTCTCTTTATCGAGGAAATCAGTCGGTCAATTGATCAATAACTTGCAGGTGTTCCCACGTCTTAGGGACAGGTGATATCTAAGAGTCACTGGCCCCTGCGGTTCGTGATGTCCTCTGTGTGCAGAGCATCTCTTCCTTTCTGCAGCTCTGGCCTCTCTGCCTGCGGTGCTGAGTCTGTGCGAGGGGCAGATTTGGCTTTTTTCTCTTCCTTTCCGTTCTTCTCTTCCCCCTGTTCTTCCTCGCTCTTCTCCCTCCCCTGCTGTGCAGCGGACCGCAGGTGGAGGGGCATGCTGAGGTCCTGCCGTTGGAAAGGTCCGGCCCAGTCCGGCCCTGTCCAGCCAGCACAACGCTGACCAGTGCTTTTACTTTGGTTAACTCGCAGGTTACCCTGAAGGAGCCACTGGGATCCCTCTCTGCCAAGCTGGTCCCAGTGATGCAGCCCAGTGGCTCAGTGTCTTTGTGAACTAGTGTCTCAGCACCTCAGTGATATTGCAACCCACCAACCCTGTGATTCAACGGCTCCGTGCCCCTGCAGCCCAGAACCCCAGCGATTCAATCTGTGAAGGACCTAGTGATTCAGTGACACAGCTCCCCAGTGATTCAATCTGTGAAGGATCTAGTGATTCAGTGACACAGCTCCCCAGTGATTCAATCTGTGAAGGA